GTCGGATGAATTATGAATTATAGATAAAGTAATATTTGTAATGGATAGGTTGAGCCAGGTATGCAGATTTGTTGAGGCATGTAAATTGGGAGTTGGACGCTCGCATCAATCTCTCCAGTCCCATCTTCTTAAATGTTTAATGCGTTCGACGACCGATATTATCCTTCTAACCGGAAACTATAACATTTTTATTCACAATATTCGCAATAATTTTTAATATTGCTTTACCAAACAAAGCATTAAAATTAAACAAACAAATTAAAAACCAATAATTTTTATTTTTTTGAAGAATTTTTGCGAGTTAACAAAATTAGAAACTTACAAATATTTCTCTTTCGTCTCACTTCTTTGCCATCTAATTTTATTTTCCAATGTTATCCTTCCTCTTCCATCCCATTGTTCTCTTATGTTTCATTTTTATCTTCCAGTGAAATATTTTTAATAAAACAAGTCAAACAAGCTTTCAGCAGCCAGCCGCTCAATTGAATTTCTATGACGTCATAATGTCACGTTATTACACGGACCAACCAATCACGTTTATGAATTGTGGCGCCTCCACCCTGCTGTCGACTGTCGGTCGGTCGGTCGGTTCGTAGGTTCGTGTTTGTGTTCGTGTTCATGCGTTCGTGTTACTTTGAGCGTTCACGTGCGCTTTTGTTTGTGTGTGTAAGTGTGTGTGAGTGTTTGTGTCTGTTTGTGTGCATACAGTTTGTTTGTGTGCATGCTCATATAAGAGTAATTGAATGGGTGTTTGAGCGTTGGCAAGCATGTATGCAGTGGTGTAGTTCTGTATGATAACAGTGTAGACAGCACGTGAGGTACATAACACGTGGAATATATGTAAAGTACACACAACTTGTAGGGCATGTAGTTTTATAAGTAATTAAATAGAAGAAGAGGAGCCATGCTTTCTTAATGATTAATCAGTTGTGTGTATGAAACATGTATGTACCGTACATGCATGCCTATTGTCTGTCGTGTGACTCTTCCGGAGATTTCTATTTTTATGGATGTGTAAATCGTATTTGCCTTCGACTTATATAGAGTGAAAAAGTTGTTGGCTGTCCTTCCTTTCTCAGGCATATGGCTGCGGTGGAAAATTTTAACGCGCATCATAAATAATCACATTCTAAACATTTATTGTTTCATTATTCCATTGAAGATTGTGTTTGTAATATTTAATTTTATAGCGACATTAATTATTGTTGTTTCATTTTTGAAATGCTTCAAATTCCAAAACGCAAATTTGCATAGTCGTTTAAAAAGTGTTTTAATTAATTTCTTAGATCAGTTCTTCGAAAACTGGCATGTTATGATCAGATTAGGACTGCGTACTGCTTCAACGTTGTCGCTTGAACTGAACGGTGGTGATGAACTGCACGATCATCATTAATGTCTCACTGTATGAAAGACATTCTTAATCAAATGAAAAAAATGAGCTCATATAACATATGGTAAATGTTAATAAATGCCGCGTACGTACGAACAAAAATGAACACATTTTCAACGTCTGATTTTTGAGGTTTATAATTTAAATCAACAATCTAAAACTGACTCGGATGTTTTCTTTTTTTTTGCACAATCTTTTCATTAAAAAAATTTCATTTGAAAGCGATTTGAGGCAGAGTGTTGCATGTATTGTTGGCCAAGTAGGTTGATCGCAAACGGACCTGGACAGTGAGCAAGCGAGTGTGCCGAGAAAAGATTGAATTTTTATTCAATTATTCTTCTACTTGTTCTCGCTCTGTAGACGTGTCATTTCTCTTCCCACTTAAAATGCATTTCTGTTTTGTAACACGGAACTTCCTTGTTCGTCGGTTTTCTATCAGAGAATTTATATGTTAATTCAAAATTTGCATAAATTTATTTTCATTTACTTAATGGATAATTTTAACTATTTTTAATTAATGTATTTATTTCGCTTTAATAATTCAAAATAAAATTAATTCAAATGTTTTTTAACAGTTCTATTTTAACGATGTTTGAATTGTCATGTTTGGATGAGCCAAAAATAAATTCCTCCAGCTGCCGTTCTAAATTGTTAAATTATACGGTAGAAAATCATTTCATTGAATATGCATGACTATGACTCAACTTTTCTAATAGAAAAGAAGCAAAAAAACCACTGGGACGCAAAAATAGAAGAAGTGTAGAATTTCATTTTTTACAAAATTTAAAAACATTTCATTTTTTGCTTCATAAAAGTTCAGTGGACTTTGAATCAAGAAGCCATAATAATCATTTGTGAAATCGTTAAAATTCATCCAAATAAGTGTTTACATATCCAAGGGCAGATCGAGACAATTTTGACTTGGAAAAGGATGCCAAGATATGGCCTGGTGTCCAAATACACGACAAACATTTTTTGGTTATCGGGCAGTTTTCCGTCAATTTTCTTAATTAAAACGATGATTCCTTTTTAAAAATGTGTTTTAAAGAATAAATATAATAAAACAATCAATTTTATCTGAATTTAAAAAAAATGCAACAAATTGATCGTTATTTTAAAAAAATTGCAACAAAATGTTCGTTGACTATCATTAAATTCGCCTCTGTCTGTAGGAATTTCGTGTATAAGATAAGCCACAGTTTTCAAAATAGAGTTGCAATAAAACAGAAAATAAAAATGAAGATGGTGATAGAAAAAAATGGGGGATGTTCGCACGGAGGCCGCCTGCCTGACTTGATGAAAAATTCAACACGTCAATTGTCCTGCAAGTTAATACAGTTGACTTCTTGCTACTGCACGGGTCAATTACATGCATTAAAAACATTCTACCTCTCTTCACTCTTTCTCTTTGATCTTTTCTTTATTAGTTTATGTTTTATTACTGCACCTTTCAATGCTTGATTGAAACTTTGTAACCAGTGGCGGATCAAGTAGGGCCGCGACCAGTGCAGTCCCCGTTGTGAGCCGTATTTATATAGTAAAAACTCACTGTTTTCACGGAAAAAGTACTATGCTTTAGTTGAAAAATTGGCATAATAGCCAAAAAAAGGTTGTCAGATTATTTTTTACCGTAATACCACAAATGTTGGCCCCCCTCATCAAAATTTTGGCCCACCGGGACAGGTTTCAAGATCCACCACTGTTTGTAACCGTAAAAAACACAACTAAAAGACGTCGTCAGTCAAGAACAATGTTGTCATCCTCTAAAGTTTAAACATTGTTAAATGATGTTGACAAATATGGAACGTTGATGAACTGAACATTGCTTGTTATCAAACGCTGTTCAACTTGTTTAATAGTTGCAAACATCTGCAAACAATTACTAACGCTGATGAAAAATAAGAAGAACACATCAGAGAAGAAAAATACAAATTAAATAAAAACAATTTGTAGAGTTTTTTACGTAACTCGCAAATGACAACAATAAAATTTTATCATTTCATTCAAAACTTTAAAAAAAATCAACAAAGAGTGGTTTTCAATTTTGTAAGTTTTAGCAGCCATTTTGCACACAATAGCACTGGTGGTTTGCTCTCTTCAAAACTTTAATAGATAGAGAGTGATTGAAAGTATTTGTGAGAGTGGACGACATATGCTGCCACTGTGCCGCTCTCCAGGTCACCTAATCACATCAATTTTTATTCATTTATGCTCTGTTGTTTCTCGCTATTTTTTTACTTTGTGAAAAAATTCAACAATTCTTTACATTCACAAAAAGAAATTGTTTTATGTTCGTTTTTTTTCTAAGGCAGCCAGAAAAATTTTTTAAATTTAATACAAGAAAATAGTTAAACCGGATAAAAACAGCATACAACCCTTGTGTCATATTAAATTAAGAAACATCATCACATGGGATATTTTCATGAGAAGAAAAATATTTTATAATTCATGCTTCAGTTTTTTCGTTTATAGAAAATCGTATAACTAATTAGTCGAGAAAATCAAAACCTTTCAATTGTTTTTTTAAATTACTAAAAAATCTTTTTCATCGCTCGTTATAATATTTCATGATATTGTAAAATTTTGTTGATGTAAATATTAGCCTCTTCCAACAATTTCACTATTTGATTGATATATGATTGATATTTGATTGATTCAAAATATATTTCAGTTCAGATTTTTGAAAAATTGATTAAATTTCATTCTCTTAAAAATTCTAAATTTTCTATACTGTTGCTTAATTAACGATAATTACAAAATAGGCAAATATTAACAAGGACCTAATAAGGGGATAAGGAATTAAACTATAGTCTATCATAATAATCTGAATTGCATGACGTTATTTCATTTCGGAGATGCACGTCGTTCGTTAGTTGTGCCGGTCATAAATATATTTTATATTCAATATATTTTTTTTGTTTGATCCAAACAAAACAGACAAAATATGTGATCGGGAGACCCGGAAGGAGAAAATAAATTCTTGTAGTAGACCACCCCGGACAAGATTATCATCATCATAAGGATAACGTAAAATAAAAATGAATAAATTATCCAGGATATATTCATTTTTATTTTACGTTATTATTTATATTATATATATATATATATATTATTACTATTATTATTATTAAGATATATATATATATATATATATATATATATATATATATATATATATATATATATATATATATAGATGTTTTGTGCTCTAAAAAATTGATTAAATAGCGCTGCATAAATGCCACATAATACAAGCTTTAGGTTGATATTTTGTGTTGAATATAATGCAGAGGTAATGACAGAATGTTTTACTTATGTTATGGCTAAGTTATTATAATAGTTGACTCAGAAAGTATATAATTTAAATTTAAAATCAAGTATTTATTATTTGCAAGTTTACCAGCAATTGTTCATAAGTTTCATGGCTGGATGAATAATCCTCGCCATTGCTGGGTGCTAGGAAACAAGCACTCCTCTAAAGTTCTGTTGTACTTTTTGTACGCGTATTTCATTTTAATACGAGCTACAAATTTAAATACAAATTTATTAAATGATTAAATCTGCGAATTAATTTATAAGTAAATCGGTTCGAAACAATTCAACTTGAAATATGCAGGAAGTCAGTAGCACCGGCAGCGGCGATATCGACGATTTCATCGATATCGAAAGTTTCAACCGCACCAGGGTCACTCCGCGGATGAAATTTTTTGAAAATTTAAATGATGGCGTCGATGAAAAAATGAGAAATTTATCAAACGCCAACCTTTCGAGCTCAGTGCGCAAAGAAGTTGATGGTTCAACTTCAATTTTTTATGAAAGAGATGCAGATGATAGTTCAGATTTGTTGAATGATGGTCGTATTTTGGATGATTTGAACAAAACTTTTACTGAGGAGGACAAGTCAGTTCATCGTGCTACTTCAAATAAAGATTCAACAGTTTTGAACAAGTCAAAATGGCTAATAAATAGTCATAATATGTTAGAAAAAGATGGGAGAGTTGATAACATTATAAAGAATTCAGACAATTCATTTTTAAAAACAAGATCAGAAATGTTATCTATGTGGAATGATTTCGGTATAGACGATGATGATTCTTCTCAATGGACTGAAAATTCAGAAATAAGCTCAATAGATGGCAAACAAAAACGAGTTAGAATGAAGTCTGAAAATTTGAACATGGAAATTTTAAATAGAAATTCATTAAATTCAACAAATAACAAATTTGTTAAATGTTCTTCTGAAAAAAAAACTGAATGGAGAAAAAAATTAACAATGCCTCAACCATTTATGTTTCTTAGAAAAAGTTCCAGCAAAACCAATCAGTATAAAAAAACTAAAGCCATGATTGAACTGGATGAAAAAAGAAAAAAGAAGGAAGATGAAGTATGCTCCTAAAAATTTTATTTTACTAGTAACTAGTGTTAAATTGTTTTAGTTTTTATAAGCACCATATAATTATTATTCTAGATAAAATTTTTGGTTGTTTTTCTAGGATACACTGGAATGTTCCAAACAGTTCAAAGCAAATCCTCTGCCAAAATTCCTTAAAAAATCTTCTAGCATTAAGGTTGTCTGTGAATCTTTGAACAGAAATAAAGTAGATCATAATGATGTTAGTGCATCAACACCTAAATGTTCAGTCACAAGAAGGTTCATTCGATCTTGTTCTTCATTCATTTTTGTTCATTCATATCAATTTATTGGTCACTGCTTTTATTATTTGTATTAATGGTTAGATGAGGAATCAATGAGCAATGGTGATCATTAACAACTTCAACAATTTATTTATGGCATCAATGAACAAAACTCCTGAAATTCATTTTCTAAGCCAATACTTTAGTTTTTTATTATTGTTTTATTAATTTATTTGAACACTGATGAAATATTTCAAATTTCATTGCTTCAGCGTTTTTTCCATTTAACACCATGAACAGGTACAGTCACGATTACACAAGAGATGGCCAAAACAATTTTGCAAGTGGTCAAAAATTGAAGTTTAAAAGGACTGAATCTAAAACTGAACATAATAAAACCATAACAAACAACAATAATTGTGCAAATAATGTTTTAAATAGAAGTTCTTATAAAAACTTCAACAACAACAACAGTAAGGTGTCCACCTGCAACAGTTTCAACAAAAGTTCACCTGGCAACAAGATAATCATTGAAAATGACACTTCATTTAAGGCTCAACCCTTTCCAACTAAACTGTTCAACAAATCCATTGATGAGCAATCAATAAAACAAGAACGAAGAATGAAGTTGATGACAAGAGCTGAGATGTTGAAAGGTGCCAAGTTGCCTTCTTCCATGCAAGCCAGGAAAAAGTTAGGTTCATTTTTTTTGTAGTTGATTGTGTCTGAGATGAGTTTTGATAAAATTTTAAAACTCCAATCTTCAGCACGACAAACAAGCAGGAGGGCCTCCCGAATGAAGCAAGATTAGCAAGCCAATGTTACAGCTACACAAGTGATATTCATAATTACTTTGGCTGTAGCATTCCTGGTGAGGAGGGGGAAGATAAAGATGGAGTGGTCGACTCATCTGGGAAGAATTCAATCAATGTTAAAGTCGTCAGAGCCACCAAATCCTTCAACAGTCGGTCATTCATTCACTCTATTTGTACTGTACATCAATTAAAACTTATTAATTAGATTTGAATGACAATGCTAACTAAAGTTATATCAAGAAGTTTCGTGAATTACTTAGCACCCAATTTTTCAATTATTTGAAATCACGAAATAAGAAAATTTGAATGCCAATTTTCTAATTATTTCTTTTTGATGACTGAAAAGTTGTGACCTTATTGGCACTTACAACATTAGAAGACAGCCACTAAGGTTGCTAATGTCTGAATATGAAGATTGCATGATGACAAACAGCTTAAATATACAGTTTGAGCTGTTTTTACTTTATATCTTATCAAAAGCATTTTTAAAATCATGAAAGTTTACGATGAATTGTAATATCTCATTCACATTTTTGTTTCTTGCCAGTTAAGAAACCATCATCAATATCTTCAACAAAATCATCAACTTCATCATCCATGGCCTCAAATTATTCACCGCCATCATCGCTGTCATCATCATCATGTCTTGATGAAACAATTGATGACAAAATTAGGATTAACAAGTCAGTCATTTTTATGTTCAACCTTTTTACATATGTCACTTATCCACAGTTTTCAATTATATCTTGTGATTGTCATTTGAATTAAATTATCCAGTTAAATTTATTTTTTTTTAAACTAACTCAGGTTGAAATTAGATGCTTACAACCAGAAGTTAACTGTTTATATTAAGCAGCTTGAAAAAGTTAGCAATTTTCTTGCTTCATTTATTAATATCTATATCTAACTTTGTTCATGAACTGTTCATCTTAATTTAAGGAGGCAGCCATAGTTCCACTATGATGTTCTATTTTATAATAAATTTTAGGACTTCGTTTTTTTGTTAACAACAACTTTTTTTTAAAACATTCATTGTAGATCAGACAACGAAGTTTTAATGATTAATTAAATCATTCCTTTTGTATAGCTAATGTAGTTAATAAAAATTATATTCAATAAAATTAATACTTTCGTTGAACGCATTTTAAGAATACTAATTTATTTATTCATTCGTTTCAGAACACAAACACACTCGAAATGAATAGACGATTTTATGAAAGAATGAAAAAAACATAGTCATTCCATTTCTCAATCTGTTGTAAATTCTTTCTTTGCTTATCACTAGATTTAATTCTGACATCTATCAATGAAACTTTAATAAAAGATTGTTGAGTCAAGAAGTTCATGTAACTTCATACCACAGAAGACTATTAACATTTTGCTTCTGGCCAAAATATCAAATAACTTTTAATTAAAAAATATTTTTATGTGTAAATTTATTTTTTTACAAAATATATTTGCAAATATTTGAAATAATTATTAAAATTTATCTATTATAAAATATTAATTTTAATCTTTTGTTATATTCCAGTTTAAACGTTATTTGTTGAAAAAGATTTATTAAAATAGTTGAATTTAATTTAAAGCTCACTACGATAGTGCCTCATCATTTACAATTAGTATTACTAACTATCTTCTATCATGCTTTCATGCTTCTTCTTCTTCCTCTCAATGTGTACATGTTCATCATTCAAACGTTTTCATGTTGTTCAACTGTTATTATTAGAAACCTTATTCTTTCTTGTTGTTTACAAAGTTGCAAGTTTACAGCATTTTCCAGAATTTCAAGCAATTCAAATATTTATTTACATTTATTTATAGGCATACATTTCAAGATTACGAGCATGCTAGTACATTTTTTCATTCAATCAAAAAAATATGTAAAAGTATATGTATATATTTATATGTATGGGGTAATTGTATCTATTTATTTATTTATTCAAATGTACGGTATATATAATCGTAATGTGTCTGTCTAATGACTCGTCAGTTTGTTGCCAATACCAAACCTTTTCGTGTTAATGTAATTCTTAACAATCTTTGTTTAAACTCATTTCCAACTTTTATAAAAAAAATGGTTATATTATGTTCCAAATATGTTTCTATATACGATGAACATCTCATGTTTTTATCATCACTTTAGTAATTGTCATTTCATCAACGTTATCGTTGGCAATGTTATGCTCATATCTTTCCTACCTGTCTGCCAAGCTGAATCTGTTTCCATTTTAACGGTTCTGCACAATGAATTGGGAAACATTTTATTTTCGTTCGAAATTTATTGTATTTCTTTGAAAATAAATCAATAAATAAATGATTTATACGAATATATATTATATTATTATATTTATAAACCATTAATGAAACATCCTACAGCAGAGTAGAGTTACTTAATGAACGTGTTGTTACCTGTTAGTTTAATTATGATTAATCATGGACCTTCATTCAGCATTATATCAAATATGTCATTCCTATAAGCTGATCTAGAGACGCAGTGTTTGAAATGATGCGAGAGCAGCCTGCTGGATCAGACGAGAGTTCTTGTTTTGTTTTTCCTACTGCACTTTCGATTCCTCTCGGCGACTGCGATGCTCATTATTTGTTCCTGATCACTTGCCTCCCCGCTGGATGTCGACGTGCTTTGAAAGGATGAGCATTGCATGAGGTTGTGTCTTCTATGGTGCAGGATGACTGAATCTGTTGGGAGGGGTAGTGGCTGGTGAAAAGGGGGCGAATCTGGTGAATTGAAACTGTCCTGCTTGACCAGCGGTGGTGGGCGTTTTGCCGTTGTTATCGTCACTTGCGGGTCTCGATTTAAATTACAAGATTGTTCCGGAGATGTTATTTTCAACTTTGATAATGGGACTGGAGTTTGCTGTTTTACGGGTTGACTTTGCTTTTGGGGCAGAAAAGAAGTTGCTTGGTGCGATGCGTTCGTAGGCTGTTGTTCAGGAGGTGGGGCTGTTATTAAGTCATCCAAGGAGCAGCTGTCATCTACGCTGCTGCTGCTATCCAAGCTTGACTCTTCTTCATCGCGATGGAACGTTTGGCTGATTGAATTTATTGTTTGTTGAGTTGGTTGTGGTGTGGTAGTTGGAGGAGGAAACATTGATGGTTGGGGAGACGTTGGAGAAATTAGTGGCTGTGAAGATGCAAAGTTATTTATTTGAACAATCGAAAGCTGGTTGTTTACTGATGTGAGGTCATCGAGTTGTGGTATCGTAAAGAGTGTTGTGGTTTCTTCTTCTCTAATAAAAGTTTCTTGGGGTTTTTGTTCCTTAGGTGCTTGTTCATCCATTAACTCGTGTTGCTTATTAGAACGCTGAACGTGTTGCATACATTTTTGCACATGCTCAGATGAGTTTTCATTCGCACGAGTTCCTTTAAGATCGAATGTTTCTGAAATTAGAGGTTTGTTTTGCGATGAAGATGACAATGATGATGATGATAAGGATCCTGATGAAAATTTGGTTTCCAAATTGTTTTTATGGTTTCTTCTCCTGTTGGAATTATTGTAGGTTTTTGCTGCGGTGCCAACCTGTTGAGAAAGGAATATTTCATTCTCAGGAATCGTCATGCTGGTGATGAACTTGCGTTTGGCTTCACCACTTGATAATGGAATACTAGTAGTTGTTGGGAAGGGCAGGCTGGTTTGTTGCTGATGCTGTAGTTGTGCAGCAGTGTCACTGGAAACCGGTGCCCTGCGCATTGGCTGTGGTGATAGTATCGAAGAAGATTTAAAAACTAATTTCGTTGTGTGAGTTGTTGAATCGCTTGTCGACGGTTTATAATTTCCGCTATATTCTGCTGCACCTACGTTATAGTTTGGTTGTGGGGAGGCATTTTGTAGATGCAATTGTTTCATTGATACGCACGTTTGTGGAACATCGTGTTGTTGTTGCTGTTGATATGTGCTGTTGTTATAAAAAGTATATGCAGTGATCGCATCATCTACAACTTCAACGTGACTTTGAAATTTGTTGTCATTTCTTTTGATATGTTTAAAATTTTTATTCTTTGCTAAATTATTTTTATTTATCGAGTCATAAGATCGACTTAATGAGGAATTATTTTTCGTGTGAAAATTCAGTTCGTTCTCGTCACGAAAGCTTTCCTTGAAGCCCAACGTACCAGCTTGATTGATGTGGCTTATATCGCTAGCACTAACGTAATTGTCACTGGTACTGTCTCTCGATTCTTTAACATTTCTGCTTGTGTTGCTAATTGCCTGTTGATTGAGCATTATTTGACTTGGTTCCCCAGAGTTGTTTACTGGTTTTTGATAACTCTCGTATTTTCCCCAAGATAGCTCTTTGCGTTTGGATTCTACAGCTGCCAGAGATCTGGCAAACAAGCTCTTTTCTTTTGTCCACGGTCCTTCGGAAGTTAAGGACAGGAGCTGGTTCAGTTGTCTGTCGTCAGTTGTTTGTTGATTTTGTTGCGACGATGCTACCGGAAAGAACATTTTAGAAACTGGCGAATTAGAAGAATGTTTCTGAAGGTTGATCGTTTGGGAGTTGTCGAGTTGTTTTTGAGGCTCTTGATTCTGTGTGTTTGGTTCGAGAAAATTCTGATAATTTTGGTCAATGTTCGTTGCTGCTGTTGTTGGTATTGTAGATGCCATAGACTGAGCCAGAGATAAATATTTTGAAGGGTCATATACACCAACCATGTGTGACGGTACAACTTGAGATATGACGCCGAAATTTGGCCTTTTAAAAACATGAATATTGCTTATGTTATTTTTATTCTCAACGAAATTATTTTCCTGGCTTCTCAACTGATGTTGGTAGGGGAAGTTGTCGTAGAAACTACTCCTGTTGCTGCTCTCGTCAGAAAAATGTTTGTTTCCTTCTTTTGATCTCAATTTCACTTTGTTGCTGTTGTTGTTATTGTTGTTCAAAATGTTGAAATATGTGTTGACATCATCGTCAACATTGTTGAACAAGTCTTTTTCAGCCTTTTTGTTATTTGCGAATGAAAGTATTTGTTGATTATATCTCAACTCTTCGTTGATGTCTTCTGAAATATTTCGAAAATTATTTTGTGTACTCTCGTCCTTACTGCCCTCTAAATAATTGTTTGCATTCTCATTTGATTTGAAAACTCTGTCGTAGTTCTCAAAACGTTCGTTTTTGTCGTTCCTTTGCGAATATTGGAGATCATTTTGATTTTCGTTTTGTGTGTTTGGAGTTGACGCCGAAAAATTGTTTGAGTCGCAAAGGGATGTTGATCTCGGTTTTAAAAGGTCGATGGTGTTTGATAAGTCTTGTTGATGTTGTCGATGTTGTTGCTGCAAGTTTTGTTGATGTTGTTCATAAAATGGTTGTTGTTGATGTTGTTGTTGATGCTGTTGCTGTTGAAACTGATCAAACGAATGTCTAAAAAGTTCCTGCTGATAGGATGTCTGATATGGAACTTGCTGGATGTGTGAAGATGTTGACTGCTCTTTATCAAGTTGTTCAATAAAATGTTCTGTCTTGTTTTGCTCTTTATCAAGTTGTTCAATAAAATGTTCTGTCTTGTTTTGAGGTAGAAATTGAGTGTATCGTGGTGATTGTTGACTACCCAAATAATTCATTTGTGGTTGTTGTGGTACAAAGGCAATGTTGTTTTGTATTAATTTTTGAGCATCTGATGTTTTATCAAACTTTTCTGAAATATGTTTGTTTTCGTTCGGATTAGGCGTTGGATGGGAATACGTTTCTTTATGATGCGTCGAGTTATTTTGCAAAAGCGAGTCGTCGGTAGTGTTAGTTGAAAATTTTTGAATTCTACTTAAACGAGGCGAAGAAATAATTTGTTGCTGGAAGATGGCGGACGGTTCTGACTCAACGGATGCCCTGCTGCTAGTTGAAACTCTAGATTGCGGTCGGTTGGATTGCTGCAGTAAATTGATTTTGCGTTGAGTCGATGGAGAATTTGAAGCGTCTGTGGTATGAGATGTTGTGCCTGGTGTTGTCAAAGTTCGTTTTATCACCCTTGGAGATTTGGAAACGTTATTTTCAAAAAGTTGATTGTTATCGTTAAGACTTATTCTTCGTGCCTGTTCTAAGGGCTGATGGTGCATGGGCTGCTGATGTTGGTATGAGGCTGCATGCAGGTTCATCACATTTTGATATTTATCAAACTGATGTCTGTTCGTGCGAGGGCTGTTGAGAGATGGGCTCCTCACGACATTTCTTTGTAAGTGCGGTTGTTGTAGATGTTGTCGTTGTATGCTAAGCTGTGGTGATTGTTGCTGAGGAATTTGTTGCATGGTTTGTTGTTGAGGAACGGGTAGGGTTTGTTGCGAAACATTACCACCGCTGCCATTTGCATCTGTGTGAACCAGATTTTGCTTCACTTCAAGATTTGCTGGTTGTTGAAGCATTTGTTGATCTTGCCATGTTAGCTGTTGTTGTTGTTCGAACATTTTGTCGTCTCCGGCAATTTTGTTTCCTTCTTGATCATCGTATGATTGCCCCCTTGTTATAAATCGTCTCCTGCTTCCTAAAATTTTGTAACAAATCGTTAAAATTGTTAATTTTATAAAGAAATGACCATTGAGTTACTGATTCCATTATGCCAGTTCATCAAATGTTCAAACAAAAACGCTTGAACGAGTGGGGAAAAGTAATTTTTTATACAGAAAAAATATTTTTGAGAAGAAAATTTAAATGATTTTAAATTATTTTCAAAAAATTTATATGAACTAGATATCAAAAATCACTAAAAGAAATTACATTTACTAAAATATTAAAAGTTTCCACCACTCACTCAATTGATGTCAAATAATTTTTTATTTAAGTAAATACAATCTTGAAACTGCATTAAGAAGTGCTATATCAAAAATTAATTGCAAGAAACAACATCAGCATATATTTTTATAAGAGCAAACCTAATTCGAACAAATTTTACGTTTCCAACAATCTGAAACAAACTTCTGTCTGAAATATTTTTAAGGATGAAGTTCCTAAATTTTTAAATTAAATTATTTTAAAAGCTCGCTATAAAGGATGCGCCAGAATAAAATGTATGCAATGAATCATCGCTGCTATGAGAAAGAATGCTCTACGCACCGCATACTAAAGCGAAAATCTGAAACAACAACAACAACGAAACTAATCTCTACAACAAGAAGAGTCCAAATAACAACGTTGATAATAACAGAACAAAAAGAACAACAAGCGCGCATACATATCTTAATCTCAACAGTGCAAGTATCAAACTTGTGCTCTATTGAGTGCGTAACTTCTATAAATAAATAACAAAAACAAAATATTTGGCAGTAAATGAAAAATTTCTTGAAGAATGGAATCAATGATGACACGAACAGCGTATTTTTGATGTGTTGGCCTACGCTCTGCTGTACTGCGCGTTTGTTAGGAAGAAAGAAACATCAACAAACCTTTTCTGGACGACATCCTCAACTACTTCACAGAAAAAAATTAAATTTTTAAACAGTAAATAAAATTAAAAAATATATCCTCCAGTTGGCATTTTTCTATTTGAATGTTTCACAATGCGGCTGCTACCGAGATGCTGGTGTTGTAGTTGTTTTTGTTTTTGTTATTGTTGTTGTTTTGTAGTTGTTTTGTAGTTGTTCAGGACGTTGTTGTTGTTTGTTATCCGGTTTGCTAAAGTGAAATACTTTGATTCCCTGACAACATTTTTATTCTTCTATGTACCTTTCTCTCCAATCTGAAACAAAATGCGGTCGAAGTTATTTATAAGGAGGAATATTAACAATGTTGTTTATAGAAAATTTTTATGGTGATTGGAGGAAAAAGATATGGAAGTTGATTGTGGTGGTGTTTATGTTGCAAACAAACTGGCTGGCATCTCTTTGAAAAATCAGATTAGAACTAAGTGAGAGGTTCGAATCTAGAGAAGAAGATGGAGAAGAAGACGAATCTCACAAACCCCACAACCTGTTTGTCAGACAAAAAATGTATATTATGTTCTTTAAAAAATTTAATTATGTTGAAGATTACTCCAATATGAACAATAGAGCAGTCAAACATTACTACTACTGTATTCCGTTATAAACTATTACCATTATCTGTTCTCATTTCTACTTTCCTCTCTGCCGTTATTATTGTTACTATTATTTTGTTGTTGTTGTTATTATTATTTTTTTATCATCATTGTTGAAGTATTCCAACAATTCACTTAACAACAAGATCATCATCAGGACTACCTCCTCTTCATCATCATCATCTAACATTCAATGGAGCTGTGAGATTGCACAAAGAAAATATAAGCAACAAAATCATAACAGATGATATGCACACACGCACAAACGCACACATGCATGCACGCACACACACACATGCACGCACGCACACACACATGCACGCACACATACACACATGTACACATTGCAAGCGTACAAACTTATTTCTCGAAATGTTCTGCACATCATTGCACTTATAAATAACACTAAAATTTGTTTTGCTAATCATAAACGATAATTTTCGGTACGTAATTCTTTTATCTGCATGTGAAAATAAAACCTTGAAATAAATTTATCTGCATTTGATAGTATATATTTTATAAAAGCAAATATAAAGTTTATACGTGTGTACTGTGAGTGTGTGTGTGTTTGCGCGTGTATTTAAGATTATGCAAGTGTACGTTCGCTTGTGTGTTCTTGTGTGTATGTGTGTGATTATCACCTGTGCGTTTGTGTGAGTACACGTGGGGCATTCATTAAAGCGCACATGCGCACATTTCGTAGATACATTCAAACTGACAGGGAGGGCGCGAGCACAATCAAACAGCAAAAACATTTTCTCGTCAATTTTTAAAATTTTTGCCATCTTAAATGATGGGCTTAATAATTGGAGAACTGCGCTCTGAAGAAATGACATTGAAAGTTGTAGGGCGAGTGAGCTAATAAGGCAGACACATCTGCACACGTGCAAACATGTTAGCAGCAAATTAGGATGAAATTTTCTAATTTTACGCGTTTACAAACATTACAAGCAAACATGTTTCTAAATATGTCGGCATGCAAGCAGGCTAATATGAACGAACGCGCGTACGACGGCGTTTGTATTACTTCTGTTTGTTATCTACGTGTTACTGTGTTGCGTGTTGTATTAGTCGGTGGGTGACTGTAACTTATTTTTTATGTGTTTTATGTGTTTCTATGTGTTTTGTAGATGGGTGTAAAATGTTGCGTGTGAGTCTTCATGTTTGCTGGTTTAAAGGTGCGAGATACATTTCTTAATGGCGGATAGGGTGGCCGTGATGTTTTGTGTGAGTCCGACGTGGTTTGATTGTGATGGACAATAATTTATTTTTAAGAAAGTGTGGTTTCGTGCGTGTGCCTTGTGTGGACTGGTTTTTAACTCTGTTTGCGCTATGCGGGTTAAATATATGCGTTTTTAATGATTAGTGTTATGGTTGTTATTTATTTTGTGTGATCTTGTATGTGAGTAGCCTGTGTGTGTGTGTGTGTTTGTGTGAGAGTGTGTACATGATCACGTGTTTGTGTGAATTTGTGTGTATGCAATTAATGTGTGTGTATGTTTTAAATGTATGTGTGTTATTGGATGAATGTGTTTGCTTGTGTGAAGGTGTGTGCTTCTACGTATGTGTATACGCACGCATGTGTGTGTGTGTGTGTGTGTGTGTGCATAATGCTCATTCAACCTTTGTAAAGTTTTGCAGCAAGCTTGCAAAGAATTACATTAGAATATATGCGGATTCATAAGGCTGGTTGTATTGTAACGTGATGAAGGAAAGATAAAGAGGATGAGATGATGATGGCGATGATGATGGCGATGATGATGGCGATGATGATGGCGATGATGATGACGATGATGATAATGTGATAATGATGACGATGATGATGATGTGATGACGATGATGATGATAATGTGATGACGATGCTGATGTGATGATGATCTGATGATCATGATCATGATCACAATGATATTATTTGTGATATCAATGATTTCTTATAACCAGTATCAATCGCAACGATATAAATATTAGTTTAAATTATTAATATTATTATTATTATTATCTTCAATGGTGTTAACAAAAGTGTTAAGGAAATATCACACTAATGATTTTTAATGAGGTAGCAAATGAATAGAGGCTTGATCGCTTTATTACTGATCGTAATTAAAAACAAGTCAACATTTCAGTTTTTTCATCAACAGTTTATCACGCCTATGTTTGTAGTGTGTGTGTGTGTGTGTGTGTGTGTGTGTGTGTGTGTGTGTGTATGTGTGTACGTGTGTGTACGTGTGCGTGTAAATATAACACATATCTGTATCTGTGTATCAAGAAATCATGGTATAATAATTCTCATCATCAAAAAATCTATCAGTAGAAAATAATATAAATCATTAAGAAATAACGATCCAAGTGTTTATATAATTGCGGACGACCATCTGATAGCTGTGTGCGTGTGTGTGTGTGTGTGTATGTGCGTGTAGGTGTATGTGTAGGTGTGTATGTGTGTGTGTAGGTGTGAGAGAAAGAGAGAGGGGGGGGGGGAAGTTGTAGGAGGGAGAGAGAGTGAAAAAGACACAAAGATTTCTTTAATTTATCTTCGTTTTATATACTTTTTTGTACTTTTGGGTTCAGTGTTTCAATTGTAGAATTACATTTACATTGTAGTGTAAGATTTCTCTTTTTGATTTTCATTAGCTAATTTTTTTTAATTTATTAAGCTTTCATTTGTTGTTATCAGGTGAATTTGATGATTTGATTGCGTAGAGCATGAAACTATTTCATTGTGTAGAGCACTAAACTTCATTTCTGCCACTACAACTGATCTGAACTTTATCGCATCTACTTACACTACAACTACACGGTACACCACTTCCAATTACAAATGAAATTTTCCACTATTGCCGACCGACGCAACTTCAATGATTTCTCCCTCCTGATAACTTCTGATCAATTTCTCTTTAACGAAATCAATTTTCGCATTTCTTATTTAGTGACTATATTTATATTTAATGTTTTCCGTCTGTTTCACAATGTTTATTATCTGAATGTTTCTTATAAAATAACAAAGCGTTTTTTATATATATTTACTTTTTAAAACGTTATTCTTTGCTATTTGTATATTTTCATGCAAAAAATATTTTATTGGATCTCTATACCTGAAGGGTTAAAGTTTAATTTGGGTGTAAATTGAAAAACCATAAACGACTTTGTTTTATTTCAATTCATTGATCCCAGTTGCAAATGCATGTGAATCCACGTATGAAGTCTGAACATTTTTAAAACACAGTGTCTGTAATTATTCTCCACTCATTTTTTCAAAAAAACATCTCTTTTCGATGTATCCATTGACTTAAATTACTTTTATTTTCAAAAAATATTATTTTGAATAACTGTTTTTAGGATTATATGTCATTCATTAAACATTCAACGAATTAAAACTTGTATAAAACCGTTGATGGGAAAATTGGTCCAGTTAAATGTAAATCATGTGTTTCCATTGAAAGTGTGTGCCCTTATAACAAAAATGCCGACAATAAATTTGTTTAAATGAAAAAATTTGAAAATTAACAGGAAAATGCACTCAACGTCAACTTTTCTTTTTCATTCAATCGTTCGTTTGCTCGTTTGTTCGTTTGTTCGTTCGTTCGTTCATTCATTCATTTGTTCATTAACTTGTTCATTCATATAAATACAATACATCAAATTAAACAATAAGATTTAAGAATTTGATCTACATTAGTTCGAAAAATTATACAGATTGATATGAGCATTTGTTTCGCCAATTAAAATTAAATTATATAAAAAACAAAAATTTATGAAATTGGGAAATAAGAAAAAATATTCGTATTGATTTGCAATCACTTCCACCTACTCATGATTCGTTCTGTGTGTTGAACTATCCTTAAACACAACCAAAAAACACCAACATTTTTCATTTATTGCTAACGTAAACATCATTACTAATACAACTCGAGTGTGTGTTTGTATTTGTGTATGTATGTGTGTGTTGTCTGAATGTGGTGTGTGTGTGGGTGTGTGTGTGTGTGTGGTGTGTAGTGTGCGTGTGTAGTGTTTTGCATACCTGCGTGTACAAGGCATCCATAGACACATTTTAATGAAATATAAATCATATTTATCTCACTGAGAGTAACAGGAAGTTGATTTAAAAAAATTCACACTTCACACACACTCACACGCACACCCACTCACACGCACACACATCACGCCAGCATTCATTCGCATCAGTTCCATTGGTATAATTAAATCTCATTGAACTAAATTTCACGTCATCATATTAACAACCCGACGACATACAACTGTGGGTTTTTTTTTACAATTTTCAACGACATCAATATTCACCACGAGCTAGCTATCAACCCTTCAAGTAAAATTAATTTACCAAATTTAAAAGCCCCAATCAACATTTTCAATCTGAACAATTTCAAAAAACGCCAGCGTTATATCAAACGACGTAAATGGCAGTTAAGACATAAAATTTACTGTAAAATTTACGTGTGTGAGGAATGGTTGGTGTGGGTGTGTGTGTGTCATCAATGACATCATCATCATCAATGACATCATCATCATCATCATCACCACCATGATCATCACTACAAACACCATCATCATCATAACTATCATATCTTTATCATTATCATCATTTCCAAAATATAGATACCCATCTGTAAAATATTTGTTTAATCCACCCAGAAGTAACCAATTTTTTAAAAAAACATTCAACGATAATGATGATGATGATGTTACTTTCATCTTTATCATCATCATTTATATATATATATATATATATATATTCATCATCATTTATATATATATATATATATATACATATATATATATATATATATATATATATATATATATATATGAAAGAAGAATGTTATATCCATAAATAATGTTATATCTATAAATAATGTTACAGTTCATCATCAACCGCATCACATTCATCATTTAATTGTTTAATCCCCACACCATCATCATCACCCAGAACCCAGAAAACACCATCGTCATCATCATCGCAGACATCATTATCATCATCACCACACCTTCACACTCATCATCTTTATCACCACCCAAACGTCATCACCATCATCATCATCGCTGGCCGTTTAGAACAACTGTCAACTACTTTTTACATCCTAGAATATGCCAGCCAATAGCAAGCTCTCTCCCTCTATCTTCATCACTCTCTCTCATCTATATATATATACATATATACATATATATATATATATAACATATAATTATATATAATTAATTATAATACATATTAGTATACATTAATTATAACTATATATTGCTGATACATAGAGAGAGAGAGAGAGAGAGAGAGAGAGAGAGAGAGAGAGAGAGATAGATGGAGTAATCGTTATCGAGAGTGAAGAATAATCTTCTATTGAACGATCATTATGAATTGTATTTTATGATTTCTGATTTTTGAAAATATTATCAACTCACTAACTGCCTGTCATTTTATCTGGCTAGCTATCCGATTGTCTGTTTGTTCAATGTGTTTCAATTTCCTGTCAAATAAAATCTTAAAATGATTTTAATTTTTTGTAAACTTTTGTGATCTTCATAATAAATAAATTGATCGAATAGGAGTATTTATTGAATGAAAGGCTTTAAACAATATTAATTAAAGTTTATAATAATTATAAGATTTAATCAACCAATCAACCAATCAACTAATCAATCAATTAACCAATCAACCAATCAATCAATCACACGCAATGGAAACGGAAAATAAAAGCAGTCCTGGCAGTTTGAAGATGGAAAATGTTGACAACAACAGCAACGACGACAACAGCATCTTTGAAAACAAGAGCAGCGGGAACATTTCAAGCACTGTGGCTCCACCGCCAACAAACGAGGACCCACAATCAGCGATTGTTTCCACTGAAGATAAGTTGCCTGTTAATAAAATGAGAAATCATGATGATAGTGAAGATGCAGAGGAGGACGACGACGATGACGGCAGCGCGTACAACGAATCGCAGAAACAAACTCAACCGCGACAACACATGGAACACTGCAGTAGCACTGAAAACACAGCTGCCATCCATGACGAGCACAAATTGTTTTCAAGACTTGTCATCGATTCCTCATTCCCACTTGCACCCCTGTCTCCTGCTCCTCCTGCTTTCGTTAGTGAGAAGGAGTATCAGCAACATCATCAACAACAGCAGCAGCAACAACAACAGCAACAGTTTTTGTTCCAACAAAATCACAGATTGGATATGAATTTGAAGGAGTGCATGAAGTCAGAAGAGAACTTGGCAGCCTCCATTATGCAACAAAACATCTTGCTCCAACAACATCAGCAGCAACAGCATCAACAACATCAACAACAACAAATGGATCAGCAGTTCAAAGAAGTCAGTTTAGACAACAATGAACAACAAAATAAGGAATCTTTATTGAAAATAGATAACAATTTAGTTTATGTAGCTTCATTTGCCAGTCACATGCCTTATTTAAACACATCATCCGTTAGTCTGACTCCACTTCAACCCGCGAAATCCCAACAAGTTTATTCCTTTTTGCAACAGCAACAACAACATCAACTGATTCAACTGCCACAACAGCAACAGCTGCAACAACTACAATTTAGCCATCCATTTTTTTTTCAAGACTCGCATCTACAGCAACAACAATCGGAACAAATTCAACAACAACATCAGCAACTCCACCAACAGAATACTTACCTGCCGAAATATCTGCCGCAAACAGTCGTGGAGAACAACAACAATGAGGAGGAGGAGGATAACGAAAGCGACAACAACAGCAGTTCCCTGTCAAACATCTACAACTACAACCACCCAAACATACCGCAATTTGTACAACAGCAAAAGTATTTCCCATCTCAAACTCAACAAAAATTGCTGATGTCTGAAAACCGCCAAGGTTTGTTTGGGTTGATTTTATTTTTTTAGAGGTATTGCCTATTGAGAATAAGTACAACGAAACGATATTATTCGGTAAGTACGGTGATTTGTTAGTTAGTCACCTTATTTATGGAACAATGGGTGCGAGTTGTGGATGATAATAACTTCATAAACGTATCATTTTAATAGACAAAATCACTCAAAAATTGTTGGCTTGGGATTGTTGAAGTGTAGCGGACAATTTAAAATATCCAACAAAATCTTAAAAATTTCTCAACTTATATTTTTTACATAATATCATGCTTTTAAAAATTCATAAACTTTAAAATACTGAAAATCAGTTCTGCCTAAAATTACAAAAGTGTACGGTGAAATCAGCAAAAATGAGTTGAGACAAGTGAACATGTTTTTAGAAAAAAATTCATCACATCCAATAAAATGAGCAAAGAGAAGATTCAAAATTTAAACGATAATATTAACTAATGGGAAAAATGAAAACTGGTGGCTAGCGTACGTATGATATCTTAAACTACTAAGTAATGAAAATTAATGAAAATAAATCGTAATTCAACCAGAAATAAAACGTTCATTGGTGAAAAAATTTTGTCAAATAAAACTTTTAATGGGCCTCACTAATAAGTGAAAAATGATGGAAATGATTGACAGGAGGACAGCAACAAAGCCTATCCAGCAATGATCTTGGAGAGGAAGAGGAGGAGCATGAGGATGCTGGTGCCGATGACGAGAGTCAGAACAACGACGATGCCGGAAGCAGTAACGGTGGATGTGGGGGCGAGGGAGGCAAGAAAAAGAACAGAAAGCCACGAACAATATACACAACAACTCAGTTGCAGGAGCTGACTAGGAGATACAAGATCAGTGCCTACCTTGCCCTGCCTGACAGGGCTGATCTCGCTCAACAACTTGGCCTCTCACAAACACAGGTCGCCCACTAAATTTTATTTCTCAACTTAATATTTGATTTTTATAACCAGAGGCTTGACCTTTTTTTACATGAATTTTTTTATAATTAATTTCAATTTTGTTGAAAGCGATCTGATTAAGCAAGACCTTCTCCTACAAAATTAATTTGTTAAACCAACCTTTTCATAGAAACATAATTGTTTTAGTCAGATGATGAACTCATATAAATACGTGATATGAGCTAAGAAACAATTGGAAATTTGTTGAAGAGCTTTTAAGCTAATCCGCAAAAAATGCATAAATTTCAAAATCCGAAATGTCTAAATATTTCAAAATAAATAATAATTAAGACTTTATTTTAAAATGCAGAGTTGTCTAGACTTTTAATAGATTCAGTCAAAATTGGAAATAGTGATTTAATCTGAAATTCTGAAATATTAATTTTCCATCCGTTTTATGAGTGTAGTGTGAAGCAATGGGATGGGAGAAAATAAACTGGAAATCTAAAAGAAGGCGTTGGGCTAAATTGGATTTACAATAAAAATTTTAAAAATTACACAATTTTAACAGAACACTTGATAATTAATTAAAGTAATTAAGTGAGTTCACCTTTCACGAAATTTAATTTCTTCCAATTGCCTATTGCCTAATTTAAAAGTTAACGATACGACGGCATTTATGAAACAAATTAAAACATTTCTAAACAATTAATTGAATTTTAATATGACCAATTACTAATCAATTAAATATAATTGCGACCATTAAAATAATAATAATTCAATTAACAAGTGCTAATTTCCTCGGAGGCTTTCAAATTACAATTCGTATCTTAAATATAATTGTCGTAATAGCGTAAACAAAAATACCTTTATCATTGGACGGATACGGAGTCATTCAACACTAACCTTACTATCCTTATCAACATCATTGTCATCATCATCATCGTCGTCATCATCATCATCATCGTCATCATCATCATCATTATCACCAACAACTGGTAATCATCGTTATTATCATTACCATCATCATCGTTAATTTCATCACCTGATTCATTGTGGTTATCAGATCATAATTATCAGCCAATATCACCATGCCTCGAAGTACAATCCTCTTCGAGATAAACATCGTTATCATTGTCATCATCACTAATATTATCATCGTCGTCATCATCATCATCTCTACTCTAATCACCAGTAAGTAGTAAACTTTTTATAAGTTCTCTATTTTAAAAGGTCATCATCAAATACCGTTGTTCCTTCGTCTCACAACGTTAACATTAATAATAATAATAATAATACGTTTCATCAGTTGTTCTTAGTTTAAATCACTCATTGACTAGGGAAGAAAAAAAAGTAGCTATCATCCGGTCGATTTTGTTTTTTGTTGGTAATATTGTTATTTATTATTGTTATTATTATTATTTTATTGTTATTATTAGTTATTGGTTTTTTTTATTAACATAATATGAAAAAGTTAATAATTTTCATCATCAAATTCTACAGTGAAAAACGTTATCGTCTTCGTCATCGTCATCATTCTCATGCTACCATCATCATCATCAACATCATCATAGGTATCATTATCATTATTGGCGGCATATCCCATCATAGTCATATCATTGTCTTCAAAATCATTTTCCACATCATCACGTTCAAAATCATTTATCATCATCATAGTCATAATCACTATCATCACCGTTGTTGTCGTCATCATCATCATCATATTCATCATCATCTTCTTCTTCAACATCATCATAATCATTATCATCATAATCATCATCGTCGTCGTCATCATCGCGTAGAGGCTGCTCAAGTAATTATCTATCTCAACATCCTGGTGACATAACCAACCGGAGCTGCGTTCTGTAAATAATGATAATAATTTATTTATACGCTGCCTGCAACAAACTTCATTCATGCAACCTTTATTTCTTTTCTCTCTCTCTCTCTCTCTCTCTCTCTCATCACTCTATCCGTTTCTCTTTCGCTCTCTATTTTCAATTTCGTCCTTTTCTATTTAACGACAACTGTCGTTTATTACGCCTTGTCGTTATTAGTGATTATTTCTAAACGAATATTAATAATATAATAACATACGTATTAATGTTAATGTTAATGGTTGTAATTAATTAGCTAAATTAGGCTGGTGATGATTACGACAATCGTAATGATGATGACGATGCCCCATTAAATACGACACCATAGATTTTTTAAGATCATTATTTGGCAATATAGACACAGCGAAAAATTTCGCATTAACATATTATGGTGGTATTGGATAGAAAATAAAAACGACAAATTAACAACAGCAACTAGCAATTATGGTAATGTTGTTGGGGACATTAATTAACGTACGGGTGTTTCTGAATACATTAATGTGGGGTTCGTTCGTTGTCATTTGGGAAATTTATTCAACCCACGCGTATATTCATTCATCGTCACTTCATTGTGTTACTTCAATTTTTGAATCAGTAGGCAATGTAAACTAGATGATAAAAGATTTTTCGGAACTTTTGAACTCTCTAAAAAAAATTAAACTAGTTATTTTATTTTTTGTATTGAAAGATTTTTATAGCTAGGGCCAGATTTAAGGCAAGCCCAGGAGCACCAAGCACCACTTTTCGAAATTTCAGCAGAATCAACGGCACACAAACAGCCAAAGGCGGGACTTAGTAATAGATGACGCATATGTAGACTAATCAAAAAACTTATTACTTAACTTATTTATGATTTAGTAAACAGTCAACATTTTTTGTTAACGAACAAGCATATTCATAATCGTTTCAAGCGAAAATGTTTCAATATTTATCTCTGGTTAGTGTCTATTGGTCAAATTAAATTTTTTCAAATGTATTTAATTATTTCGATGAAAAGATAATTTTCTAATATTTATGAAAAATATCCCACGATTCAACAATACTGTTGACAGTTCGATGCATTTACACACTTAAACTCACGCCTAGACAGGCACGCACACATACATGTATTTATATGTAATATACATATATACAATTTATATATAATATATAAATATTAGATATATATATATATAGAGAGAAAGAGAAAGATTTTCAGGTAACAAAATTTATGTTGAAGTCGGATAAAAATTATACTACGACTCCAACACCGGCCTCTTAAAAAACTCCGACTCCTGGAAAAGTTTTCAGATTCCTGACTCCGGCTCTGACTCCGAAAATAATTTGCCAAATTTTGCATAATAATTTTACTTAAATATCGCTACTAAATAAAATATATCTAATAACTCTTAAAATTAGTCAATCTAATTGTTCCTCTTAGTAAAGTTACTTGATTATTATGTTCTAAAACATACGTAAAAAATTATATGGTTTTATAAACATTATTAACGCTTACATTCAGTATTAAAGATGATTGCGTATCGCTACACATAATTATACTTTTATAAAAAACACGATCTCAAAAAATATTTTTAAAAACAAAAAATTTAAAAAAAAATTCAAATTCCAACTATTTCCAAATTTTGATATTCTAAGTTATAAATGTTTCAAAATTTGAAAACTGTATTCTTACTATCTATTAGACAATATGAATGTAATAATGTTTACCTTTTAAATCCATAATTTTGTTCACATTTTTAGTATAAATATATTTTTCAGATAAAGATTTGGTTCCAAAATCGTCGAAGTAAGTCAAAAAAAGAAAACGCAGCTACTTCGTCTTCTTGCAGTTCTGCCTCCAGCCGAATTCAACCACGCAGACGTAGGAAAGGTGCAGATGATGATGAAAATGACAATACAGTTACCAGTTTGCAACAGAACAATCAAAACGTGAGCGACAGTCAAGAAAATTTGTCCATGTCAAATATTGAAGGATGTCTGTCATCTTATCCACTGCCTCCAATAAGATCTACACTTAATTCTCATCCTGTTTTTTCTCCAACCCAATCTTTTTTAAATTTGGGTCCTCCGTTGCCCACGTCATCATCATCGTCACTTTCTCTTTTAAATTTAGGCCAATCAGATTTTTCAGCAGATAAATTGTTAGGAAATTCTCGTTCAACTGGGCAGTTAACCAGAATTATGGGAGGGGACTATTTTTCGCATCCTTCTCATCCTCCATCACAATCATTGAACTATCCTCATCAACAACATCAATTTTCGGGCTCCAGTAACTTTTTTAGCAACTATCCACATCCTCTTTCTACATTTCGTAACCAGCAACATCAGCAACTCCTTGACCAGAGTAACCAATTGCAGCCATCTCAACAACTCCCTTCGTCAGAGCAGCTGTTTCGGCAGCTGAACCCCCTTGGCCCTTCATCTTCTCGACTTTTCGGAGGAAGCAATCTTCCGTATAATTATCCTCATAATTTGCCCGGTCTCAATTGGAACAACTTATATTCATCCACTCCGACACCGTCCTCATCTGAAATTACGCCTCCAGCTTCAAACACGCTATCATCCGCCAGCGCACTCCTGAACAGCGCCTATTCAGCCAACAACGGATTAGCGGAAACCTGTGGCAGTGCAGCTGGAGTGGCATGGTGACACGCAGACAAGCAACAAAACTAATAACTTTCATGTTTAAAACGGTACAAACACTTACAAACAATTTACGTATTCGTTCAAATATTTTTAAATAACTACAATTGGAATAAAATTTATGCTTACTTAATTATATTTACTGATCGATTTAAAATCTGTTATGCATATGGTACAAATGCAGTGTACTTAATTTCCCCCTTGTATTTCAAGTATTTTCTTATGCACCAAATATCTGTGCCTTCAAATTTCAACATTCTCATTTCTTTGATGCTTCACTAACTCAGGTTTTGTAATTGTACTTTGTGTTCATCACCATCGTTTTATCATTCCTTTTTTATTCGTGCTCAATTGAACATTATAAATTTTTTGAAACGTAATAAAATGTCTCAGCTTTTTATAAATTCACTTTCAGCGTTGTCATCGGTTGGATTTCGTACGACTCATTGATCGGTTGTTCTTCGTATGACTCACTGCTGATGTTGATGAGTTTTTATGTTATTTTAAAAACTACGTACCAACTGTTATAACTTTGGCCAGTAACATAAATACAAGAACGTGAAGAATAGCATTTCAATATGGTATCGCGTCGTATATTCACTTAGACAAAAGACAACCGTGGAGCTATTTAAATTTGCGTTTTAATCTACAATTTACAAACATATTACGAGAGATGTCAAAATGTATCCAAAAAATTTACGCAGCTTGACGCCGAGATTATTTTTAATCTTATTAGTGTCAGTTCTATCTATAAATATTTAATGAAGACAACTTTCAATTCCCCATTTTTATTGAAAACAAATCCGTCCAACAACAATGACACCCCAGACGTCAATGAAACGCATATAAACAGACATGAAGTCATTTCACAAACAATTGATTAATTAATCAATTAATTAATCAATCAATCAATTGTTGAGATTGTTCAAACATTTCATTGTTCCAATTCATAATCATAAACTTTAAACGATTTTTAAATTAAAAAAACTATCAGGAAAAATTAACTAAAAATAACTAAATAAATGTAGAATTAGTCGTGTAAACAACAATTATAAAATACATAATTAAATTAATTGTAAAAAAATAAATGAAATGAAACCGTTAAATTGCAATAACCGTTTTTCAAGTTCCGTTTCAACGCGAATGAATCATCACACCTCTCAATCTATCTAACATTGATTGCTACCTTCTAATGCTTACCGTCTTATCAACAATAATTTTACCGAACGAATTAATAACTTAATAATATTAACGCTAATAATAATTACTCGTTATAATAAACGTTAAAATAATAAGTAATTTCCTAGAAAACAAAGATGAATAAATAAACAAACGATAATAAATAAATAACGAACTAAAGAGGTGACTGATTGTGACAGTGTTGATGAGAAGCAAAGAGGTATGATGACACAGCAGTGTTACCACCCCGTTGTTTAACATTACAGACATTAGAATGGGTATGAATGTGATTATTTTTTGTCCGCCTCGTAACGCAACAACCAACGAATGAAACGCTTTTGGAAATAGATTAAATGTTTTTCAATTTTGCCAATGACGTTTTCATAAATATAATTAAAATATGACAAAGAGAAATTAATTAATTTTTTCTTGCAACAAATCAAATCTTAAATTGTAATGTCTTGTAATGTCCGAAGAAGCAAATATTTGATGATGATTTTACCAAGTGATGATAATAATATGTGGCAGATCTGATTGATGATAATCAGAAATGATACATAAGTAAAACAAATTCAAACGAACATTAGGATGAGTGAAACAAAAACGACAAATGAATAATGATTTGACCGATATTAAGCTAACTCATAAGCAATATGATCCACACAACACATTCCATTTATTTCCAACGAGGCGTCATTGAAAAGTAGCAAAATAAATTGCAGGGAATTTAATTTAACTTCATTTAACAAGTGCTCAATCAAATAAACAACTTTATGAATTTTTTGAAAACCATTATATTCTTCACTGATAATTGAAGAAATGCTTTTGATTTTACTTAAATTGTAGCAGAAACCCACAGATCAAAATTTCCATTATACATAACTTGTTTTGTTTAAATTTGCATAACATTATACATAACTTGTTTTGTTTAAATTTGCATGCAAATGTGTGTCTCCAATGTAAATGTAGCATGTAATTGGATATAAGTGGCTGCTTATATAATTATAACAACATTCATCTATGTAATTATCCTCATTAGTCATAATTTAGTCCTTCCATAATTGGGCACATCATATGAAAAAAATCATAAATTTTGATCGAATAATTAAAAATTTTAAAAATATTCATAATTAGTATAATTTTCATAATCAATGTTTCGAACATTCCGCACCAGTATCAACCCAAAAAATGAAGACGATTAATATGATGATCAACATCAACCTTGTCCGTGTTGATAGGAAGGTCCATGCATTGACTGAGGAACTGTTGAGAGGAAATTTTTCAAAATTACAACAAAACAATTTATTAATTTGCAGAAGAAAAAAAAGCCAACAACATTTACAGGCCTCTCATCTCTGAAAAATGCATTCTAATAACTAAATTAATAAATATCTCTATGAATCTCACAGAGCTTAATTTATAAGCACTATTGGTCTGATGAACCCAAGGTTGAGATGATTTGTTTGGGGAACACAGATAGAGACAGAGTGATGAGATTAAAAACCATAAGGAAGAAAATATATTAGCTGTATATGATTAGATGGAGATGGGTGACGTAAGAATTAAGAATGTTTAATTTAGACTTGAGTTCAGCATTTTGTGTAAATACAATCACAAAAATTAAAGCATGCTCTAATAAATGAAGTTTGATCACGGATGTTTTAGTTTGAAAAATATTTTTAGACAAGGCACACAATAAACACATTCAGAAAGATGGATCTAAACCGCCAGTAGTACTGTAATAACCTACAATCAATATTGTCCTATTTAAATTTAGATAATAATGATAATAATTTTATTGATATGCACAACAAAAATAAAAAAAAATGTAAACTGACTTTGTTGGATGTTATAGAGAAGAGGTTGAGGATGTGGGGCAGTCATGTTTGGTGGTCCAAGGCCTGAAACATAATCAAAACAAGCATTATGCTCACAATATACATTCAACATCTTAGCACAGACTGATTGGTATGTTACATTACTTCTAGTATTCTTTTGCAGCATGTTTTTTTTCATTACGAAATTTTATAATTTAATCAAAATATGTGAGATCATAATACAAAAAAGTTTTCATGTCAAATGTGTTAATAATGTAAAGTATTGTAAATGAAAAAACACAAATAACATAAAAAGGTTGCAACTAAACTGATATACGTGTAACTGAGCTGTTACACAGTTGAAATAATAAATTATAGAATACCACAAATGATTCAAATAAAAAAACTAACTATTGACAGCAACAAATTGTCCAAGCTGTGCAGGAGTTGCTCCTTGCTGGTTTGGAGCAGCAATAAACATTGAATGCGGATGAACCAACGAATGAGGATGGATGGTTGATCCAGGTGGCACTTGTCCTTGCAATGCACCAGCGCCCGGAGTAGTTGGAGGCATGGTGGCAGCATATCCCCCTGCCTGATGGTGGTGAGCATTCTGGAAGTTTGGTAGGAAAGGTGAAATGATGACTTGAGACTGATGCGTGGTAGATTGCAGATGTCCAGCACCAGGTTGGCCGATGGTCACCTGGTGATGTGGCTGAAATGCAAGGCTAGTCGATGGTGTCACAGGATAATGTTGATGTGAATTTTGCTGCTGTTGCTGTTGTTGTTGTTGATGCTGTTGTTGTTGCATATGTTGTTGCGATGGAAGCTGAGGAGGAGGACCAAGGTAGTGAACAGGTGTTGGAGCACCAGATCCATTATCAGGACATCCATTACCTCCACCATTGTTGTTGTTGTTGGGCTGTTGTTGCTGCTGCTGCTGTTGACTTTGTTGCTGTGCAATAAGGTGTGGGTGTATATTAGAGACAACGGCAGTAGCTGGACCTCCAGCTAACTGAGGCAACTGGGGAATCATCTGGGCAGGTACTGTCGGTTGGTGTAATTTTAAAACGTTTTTATAAAAAATGATTAATTTATTCAAGTCATTAAAAGACATGGATCTATTAATTGTATTTAGAAAAACATATTCATTATTATTATTTATATGAAAGCAGAAGTAATTTGATCTAGATGCTTATTTGAAAAATTTCCAATTAAATTTTCTTTGAAGAGTGGAGCTAATACAAAATTTTAATAACACAAATGATAAAATAAGAAGAAAACATATGACGATGTCATACAGATAACGATTGTTTTGCACTCTGTCCATACTTGCATATACAATGTTAGATAAAAAAATATCTTACAACGACTGATGGGAAAGAGGTAAACAACCGATGAATGAATGGAGAGATTGGTATAGAGAGACAGAAAGATCTACTGAAAGTAGCTAGGCACTTATGAAAATAATGAGTCTGAGCTAGACGCGTTGATGCAGAATGTACTACTTTAGTGATGTAATCGAGTGCTGTTGGTCATTAAACTATGAGAACACTGGTGATTCAACTAACAAGACCAAACAACATTAGATAGGACATATTAACAATAATGAACAATAAAAACTCACAAAACATGTGGTTTGGTCCAACGGCATTTGGATCATAGAATATAGGTCCAGGCAGCATCAATCGAACAGACTGTAGTAACATTAAAATAAAATTCATTTCCACTGATTCAATACATCCCACAAAATAATCTTTTAAAAATTATTATAAAAACATTGTAACAAATTATGAAAGAGAATTTTTAGCTATTTTGATGGATAAGATAAAAAATGATAATGATGAAAAAGTTAGGTCGTTAATGTTTTGAGGCATAAGAATATGAATAAATGAATGATAGACCAAAAACAAGTACATTGTATGGTGCCAGTCCTGTGGGAGTGATGAACATTTGGGGCACACCACTCTGCGAGATGAGAGGAGCACCAGCCATTACATTGGCAGACTGTGGAGTAGCCAGTTCGTTTGTCACTCTTGCTGACACTGTTGCTGCTTAGGTTAAACACATCCATTCATTTAATTCTTTTATAAAATTATTAGTACGTTTTTTATTCTAAAACATATACACCGAACAAAGACTGAACCTAAAATGTACATTATTTCCATTAGAAAAAGCAGAACTCATTGCTGATTAATATTAGCAGATCACAAAGTGCATACATAATATATATATATATATATATATATATATATATATATATATATATATACACATATATATACACATATATATATATGGTAAGCAACACTTATGGTCAAATGAATGTATGTACCATTAAGCATCAATGATTTGATTTATCATATTGAAGCCAACCAATTTCAAACATTAGACAATTTTAAACATGTAAACATTGAATATAAATCCGAAGAAAACAAATAATAACACTCACCTCTCTTGGCACTAGCTGGATACTTCTGCGTGTAAACGAATTGTGGCTGAGGTGGTTGAGTGGCAAGTATGGATGGAACTCCAGAAGCAGTGTATAGAACAGGTGGTGATCCCACTGTTGGTGGAACCATTTGTGGCTGTTGAGTCACTAGTTGTTGTAGTTGTTGCTGGTGCTGCTGCTGTTGCTGCTGCTGAACTAATTTGCTTTGTTGTTGTTGTGTGTGCAGGAGTTGTTGTTGTAAGTGTTGTTGATGTTGAAGTTGGTTATTGTTAACAGGGGGTTGCAGCTGTGGGGTGTGTTGTTGCTGAATTATCAAGGTATCCAAGGAGCTTACTCGAGGTTTGAACTCATTGGCATTTGGGTTCAATGTGTAATTTCTGTTTTTATATAAAAATAATAATTTATGAAAGGTACAAGTCTAATGAGAAACATTTTTTTTTCCATATCCAAAACCAACTCTAAACAAACAATGAACTTTAAACAATACCTCTTCTCTGTATTTTCACTGGTGCCTTCAGAATTTGATTCATCATTTGATTTAGAACCAACTGGCTGAGTTAAAGTTGCATTAGTACTGTTGGGCAAAGTTGAAGATGTGGTAGCACCATTAACAGTGTTGTTAGCAACAGCTGTAGTAACTGCAATTGACGTTGATGATGGAGTTGAAGGGACCATAGCAGCATGTGTGTTGTTGTTGTTGTTGGACACTGGCATTTGTGAAGGGACATTACTAATGTTGTTAACCATGGATGAGGGCGGTGATGACACAGAAGCAGACATGTTGATTTGCATCTGAAAATAATATTATTTAAACAATTTTATCATACATATATACACAAATATATACAATTAATTAATCTTAGTAGAACCAAACAATAAATCAGCAGCTAAACAATAATTACGTTGAAGTTTTCTTTAAAATCTTTGAACTCATCAATTTCGGTTCTAGAAGAATGGCTTTGTGGTTGTTGGTGGTGATGAAGTTGTTGGTGAGGATGTTGCAGTGGCTGATGTTGTTGTTGCTGTTGCTGTTGGTGGTGATGATGATGGAAACTGTCAGCATGTTGAGATGTTGTCATCAGATCAGTAGGCCTGCTTATTTTTATATCTTTGCGATCACCATGATGATGTGGAAATTGTGGATGAAACCTAGAAAGAGAGTGATGAGTAGTGTTTAACATATTGAAAGATGCATTAGTGTTGACTGGTGTCATATTTGGTTGTTGTTGATAATTTAATTGTTGTTGTTGCTGCTGCTGCTGTTGTTTTTGCTGTTGATGCTGGTGATTAAACATTGGAGTAACGTTTGGTACTGTAGATGGAGCATGTAACGGTGTCGAATTCATCGATGAATGAGGGACTGGTGGTTGATTTACCACAGCTGAAATTTGTTGCTGTTGTTGTTGTTGCTGTGGTTGTTGTGGTTGTTGTTGCTGTGGTTGTTGTGGAGTGTGGTGTATATTATTCACCACAGCATTAGCAGGTTTAGGGTTAGAAACAATATCACTATAATTACCTGTAATTGAAAAAAAAAACATATAAATTTAAATTTAATTTAAATTAAATTTTAGTATGAAATATCATTAAGAAATACAAAATTTGTAAAAAATAACGATGAAAAAATAGGCAAATTACAATGCAGTGGAGTGTTAAGAGGAGGAGGAACATCAGAAGATTGTGGTGCTGATGGTGTTTGTGGAAGCTTGACAATGTTCATCACAGGTGACGGCTCCCTCTCAGTCTTACCAGACAAACTAGTCTTCATCAACCTATTGGACAGTAATGATGAAGGGGTTGACACTGATGATGCTGTTGACGTCTGAGATTTTTGCTGCAATGAAGAACTTGTATTGCTGGAATTGTTTTCTTCCCTGACGACAGCACTGTGTAGGGTTTCTTCATCTTTAGTATTTTCCAGCTCCATGCGATGCTTGTATGAAGCAGATGATTCAATTTCTCTAGCCAAAGCTGCAGCCTTTTCGACATGCTGCTGAAATTCCTCAGTGTTGTGGCTGGGCATTGGAGTTCTAGTGGAAAATGAAATCATTGGGAAAAATGCTATAAATATCAAGGTTGTTAATAGCAGAGTAGCACTGCAGCATTTATTGAGCAGTTAAAAGCAAAATTAAATGCACAACTGCTTCTTTTGAGTCAACAATTTTTTTTATCAAACCATGCAAAATAACTAATAATCTTCCAGTTAAGAAACCTAGATTAAATAGCATTGTTTTGCTTCTACAGTGTTAATTGCTTTATTTTGGTTCCTTTTTGATACTTTGGAACTTAATTGCTTTTTTTTCATTGCAATCCATAAAAATCTGGGTTTTAACTTAAGCACAAAGTTTTATTCAATTTTAGCTTGATGCTTTAACTCTTAATACGTGGTTTTATTGAACTTTACCACGTGAATTTAACTTTGCCACATAAATTTATTATGTGGTTGTAACATGCGTTAACAGATGATCAATCAATTCGCATTATTGGTGAGCGGCACACCTTTTTATGAGTAGTATTAACAACCCTGATAAATAAACAAGTCACTCGACAAATGCTCGCAACATGTAACCAAGCAATCGTACATCAAATTCTTCAAGAATTAAATGAAAAAAGTAATGAATAACATTTAAATGTGTTTAAATAACTGAAAACATACGTGTACTGTGTCAAGTTAGGATCATAAGTTGTCATGATTTGAAACTTATCCTGATTTGTGCGAAACATCTCATTTGGGTCCCAACCATTTGTGTTGCTCGACTCCAGCAGATCATCATCATCATCTGGATGAGAATCAGACACCCACGGTTGCAATTCCTTCTCCATCACCTGACCATTCGATTTTCTGCTTATTGCTCCATCGGTGAAATTATCTATTCCAAATAGTACATCATCACTATTATTTAACAGACATTTTGATACTCTAAATTATAATAAAAATGAAGCAGATAAAAATACATGTATATTCATCACTACCATGTTTAGAAATTACATGACACATACTACATTGCAGAAAATGTGTGATAAGAAAGAGGACAAGCATTGTGAAACAGTCACATTAGCTGAATGTCATCTAAGTTAATATACCTATTTACTACTAAAATAAGCCAGTATTTATTAGAACATATAAAAACTAAAAACTTTAGTATAAGCAGCTTTATAATTATTTTGATCGGTGTTATCTATGTGAATCACAATAATCTTGGCTAAACCAGACAACCTGTTTAAAAACCCCAGAAACTTGAAGTAAATATTTTGAGTATATGAATAAATTATGAGATGATATCTGAGCAATTCACATCAATCTTGTCATGTCAAGGCTCTCACTTATTTAAAATGTCATGCTGATATGTTCATTGAAATTAAATTTACAATCCACTTATATATTAAACATAGTTGTAAGCATTTTGACAAGCTTAATCCTTAAATGCATACATGGTGAGTTAAGGACCAATTTATTGAAAAATTAAGCCTTGAATAAAAACCTTGGTGGATAGTGACAATGATGATGATGATCATTACAAATGTTTTCCATAACTATGGAAAAAACCTAACTAATATTTGAATCTTTTCAAATGAACTGAGTACATAAAAATATCTACCAAAATGTGCAGAAAAACACAAAAATAGAAACAATTCATACCAGTTAATTTATAGGTATGTATATTTATATAACAAAAGTTGTTTATTTGTATATTTCAGTTGTCTTTAATATGTTGCATAATAACATTTCTAACAGCAAAACTATAAGCAATATTTTGAAGAAACTCAATACATTTATTCCATGTTAGTTATTTTATAACTAATTTAAAAAGCTAAATTTCAAATCATTATTATTAACTAGAAAAAACATTCGTTAAAAAACAAATATAAAAAGATTGCTAAAAAATTTAAAAATTTTTTTATTTATTTAAAACATGAGTTGTAGGAAGGAGTGTAGTTAATGATTTCAGAAGATTTCTGTAGAGCAATTTTTAAAATATTTTACCACTATGATGACAAAATTAAAGTGATATAACATGTGATGTTATCATGAAAACAAACAAAAAAATCTAAACATCTAAATGAAAGCAAACAACACAATGGTGGCAATATGAATATGACAACATTACAAAAATACACACCTCCAATAATGGCATAGTTAGGATCAGCATTAAGAAATTGTAAATTGACTATTTCTTCGGGTTTGAAGACCATACATGGCTGGATGTCACTACGACACGGCTGCCATGAAGGATTCGATTTGTCCACTTTATGCACTTTATCAAGCATCACTTCAAGCTAAAAGAGAATATGGTTGAAAATCTCAATTTAACATAAAAAATTAATATAATAACAAATGATAATTATAAAAAATCGTTATAAATAAAATAATCCTTGTCACCATTAATTAGTAATCAACCAGTCTATAACAGTTTTATTGATGCAAAAACTGCAATAATGATTTGGGCAGATTTATTGCAGATTTTGGTGAGTACCATAGCATAAGGTTAAACAAGTGAAGAGAGTTTAGGGTAAGCTTATTATACTAAAATTTGTAGTACAATCCAGTTGATTAACACTTTAATGTAGAGCATTTATCATAGAACATTCAGGTAACCCTACATATTTTACAAAATTGTTCAAGATATAGACAAATTTTCAACATAACAAATTTTGTAATTTTTTGCAAAATGTGCACAAATTTTACAACTCATTAAAAAACCAATAATGAATAAAATAAAATAGCAAAAAATAATTTGTTAAAGTAAAAGTATTGGGATTGCTTATAATATTGGCATATAATATAACCCAACTTTGGTTTGATTATTCAACTGAAACCAACACTCTAACCACAAACTTAAAAAAATAACATGATACACGGTTTTATTCTGGACATCATAACAGTGAAATAAGAACTTCAGCCTTAATCTTAACCTTACCAAAACCAATAGGCCTAGTTGGACTGATTTTTTATCATATATAACGCTTAAAAAAAATTCATAACGAAAACATATTAAACAATAATGAATTAAGGTTAGTATATTAAAGTGCAAATAAGATTTGAAGAACCGGGCTGTTACAAAATAGGAAAAAAACTGAAGGCAAATCCTATGTTAGTGCAACCAAACTTTTTACTGCTGGCAAATATAATAAAAAAGATTTTACTCCAACCCATAAGAATGTAACAATATAATTATGTGGATAATTTTTAAAAGCATCTTTTAATAAGATACAAATTTGTATTCATTCCTAAAAAATTAAAGATGAAAAGAAATAATTTCAAAGACGTTTAACTAAGAAAAATGATTATAACATGAGCATTGGGGTCTCAGTTGGTCAGAGATTTTTGTCAGTAAGAATTTATTGAAGGAATTTTTTCATCTGACTCCGGAAAATGTTATTAATTAAAAAAAATTTTAAATTTTATTTTTGAAATTTTTTAAGGTTGTGTTTTTTAGAAGATAAATATGTGCAGTATTATGCAATAATCTATAATACTGAAAATAAATGCTACACAAAATTTTTTTACTGTTTAAAATATAAAAATAAAATAATTTTACTAAGAAAAACTATTACATTGACTGATTTCAAGTGTTTTTTAAAGTACTTTTTTTAGCAGTGATAATAAAATGAAATTATGATAAAAAAAATTGAAAATTTTTTTCTGAAAGTCGGAACACAGAATTTTACTAAGAAAAACTATTACATTGACTGATTTCAAGTGTTTTTTAAAGTACTTTTTTTAGCAGTGATAATAAAATGAAATTATGATAAAAAAAATTGAAAATTTTTTTCTGAAAGTCGGAACACAGAGTCTGAAATTTTTACCCAGAGTCTGAAATTTTACCCAGAGTCAAGAGTCAGAATTTTTTAAGGGCTGCAGAGTCGGAAACATCTGACTCCAACACTCTAATTATAATTGTTAGCAAAAATAAATGTAATAAACTTAAATCTTATCCAAAAAATTTTTAAATAATTAAAATGAATATCTTATTTCTAGCTTTCCTTTAGTTGAACTTAACAAAGTGAATTTAGAAGGTTAAAATGACTAGTACATTTATCTATTTAATACATTTAAAGTGATGAAAAAAATATTTGATGTAAGAGATTATATTAGAAAAATATGATCTCCATCTTGAATTAACTCTAACAATTTTAATTAAATGGTAGCCAAATGAATTTTAAGAGGCATAAAACAAAGAAATGTTAAAATTAAATAAATAGTTCATCTTTTTTTCTCACCACAAGCTACTTAAAAAAACAGATCATCAATATAAAGCAAATAAAACTTTACTAATATCAACCGTTGTTAAAAAAATGTTAGATAATTAACAAAAACCAGACCTCATTGCCCACCTTATGTGACAAAGTTTTGAAAATGCCCTCAAAAGTTTCTGCCTGTTTATTTGTAATTCTAGCCACAACACCCTAAAAAAATTATTTTTATTCACTTATTATTAATATCATCAGTTGGCAATAATAAAAAATTAAAAAGCTGTAAAGAAAACATACCACGAGATTAGTCATCTGAAAAATAAATCTTTCGTTTTTATATACTCCAACATTCTGCATTTGAAAAGAATTTGAGCAATTAATTAAAATATCAAATAAACAAATTACTGTGATTCTTCTTGAAATTAACTTCAAATCAAAGTTCAAAGTGAGAAACCAAAATATTTAATTAATTGATGTCTATTATTTTTAACCTTTAACATGTTATTTTTTTAGTAGCATTATCACACATAAATAAATATGCATATACTATACAAATATTGACCTTGGTAGTGGTGAACATAAAATTAAATTGTAATATAATCATATAATAAAATTATAAATAATTTATAAATTACCAATATCAAATCTAAGATCTAAATTCTAAGATATATAATATTGAATTAAATTAATTAAATAGTTTTACCAAGTCGGGTCCACTGTTGTTATTGACTGGATGATGAAATGAATCAGGCATTCTTCGTGGTCTAAAAATTAATTTTAAAAAATCAGTTATACTGTTTTAAACCAACAACAACTATATAGGCACATCATCCCCCAACAAATGTGGATTTGAATAAAAAGGACATCGCAAATGATTGAAATCACAAACTTGGAATTTTGTGGTCCATAATTATTATTCCTGTTGTTTTGCATTCGGGTACGACGATATGTGTTATTATTATTATTAGTGGACATCTTGGATCTGTTTGTTTAACGAGCACTTTATGAACTTTTGCAAGCCTGCTAGTTATACAATTTAACTATTAAATTACTCAACAAATCGTGTGATATATCAGTAAAGTCAACGATAATTCCAATAATAAAACGATTATTAAAGTAAAAAATGCTATAAAAAATATCTATCCGATGGCCACTTTTAATAAAACATGGCGCATTAACCACTTCCTTTTTATAAGCAAGTGCAGCTACAAATCAACAAAAAAAATTAATAATCATAAATAAATCGGCTAATTAAAATTACTAACAAGAAATTAATTTTATGACTTAAAAATTATCGGACGTCTTAAAATAATTTTTTATGTTTAAATTTCATTCACCTATAACTATATATTATAATAATATTATAATAAGAACATACAATAACACGTGGCTAACAGTATAAAATTGCTTGATTGTACTATCATCAGCTTTATTTATATACCAGATCAGCATAGATAAACAAGTTATATTTTTTTTATGTAAAAACCGGCATTGAATATAAATTTTTAGTAATTGTAAAAAACACATACTTAGAATGACAAATCTGTCCCTAGGTCAAGGTTCGTTTGTTATAGCTCAATTCCTGGGTTAGAGTTCTGATCATAGAACTTATGGAATTTGAGATCAAAATTTTGTAATTATTTATTTATATATTTATATATGTATATATAAATCAATCAATCAATTAGTTTATTTGGCGCTATTTCCGCGAAGTTCAACATTGCTCCTCAGTGAATTTTGTAAACAGTTAAGTCTTGAGGTCCGCTTTAAACTTTGTAAGTAATGTAGTAGTCAGAGAAGGATGTAGAGAGTTCCAAAGAAATGGGCCAGAAATAGCAAATGCAGATTTAGCAGAAGAGTGTTTAACACGAGTTAAAAAGAAGTGAAAACAAAAAGAGGATCATAAACCGGACGTTTAGGTTCAATTAATACATCTGATAAGTTTTTAGAAAATAATTTAGTTTGAGGCTTAAACATTAATGTGCAAATTTTAAAAATTATTCTATATTTTATGGGTAGCCAGTGCAAGAGAACAAGTTATGGAAATGTATAATTTACTTTGTGTATATGGCTAAACCAGTCTAAATTTCAAGAAAAAATTAATTTTGTTGTTGATTAACTGAGTTCTCCAAATTAACCAAATTGTATACTTATCCAAAGAAGGTCCAAAAAAGGGCTATAAAGACGGTCACAGGACTACGACGTCTGCAATACGAAGAAAAACTAGATAAATGTGGCCTAACAACCTTGAAAACACGTAGAACAAAAAGAGATTTGATTCAAACTTATAAACTAAATAGGTACAAAGAAGATTTATCGTTTTCAAGATTTTTTAAACTGTCTTATAAAAATATATAAGTGGTTATAAACTAAAGCTCTTCAGAGAAAGAACTGGGCCAATGAAATATAACTTCCTCAGCAACAGTAAATCACAGCAAAATCGACAAATATTTTTAAAAGCTTATTGGCCATATTAGGATTCTAACTGGAGTGGCTCTGAACAGATTATTAGTTTTTGAGCCACTATAATTTTTGTTATAGGACATAATATGTTTCCTGACGTTTTTGAATTATAAAATCAAACTCGTTTTTGAAATTTTTATAAAGAAAAGTATCTCCACTAACTCCAAATTGAAATAATAATAAAAACCTTTATAAATAGTTTAACAAATAATTCCTTTTTACAACTAAAGTGGCTTCAGGAATAATTCCACTTCACTGAACTGTCTAGTTTTGTGTTCCACTCCCTAGCCGCTGCGTTTTCGGTAGGGTTAGCTATAGCGCCGCTACATATATTGAGCGGTAGCAATATAGGTAGCGACGATAATTTTAAAGCTAAAATAGAATCGACGCCGCTACTTCTGAGTCAAAATTTGTTTTCCTTTTAAAGACGTTGATCAAATGGGGTTGTTTTGATTTTACACCTGTTTTTGTCTGCTTAAGTGGTTTGTTCTTCATTGTATTCCGGAAAAATCGGTGGTTTTAAATATTAGCTTGCAGTTTTATTAAACTTTTCACGATGTTTTAACTTTAACACGTGGTTTAATTTAATATTACCACAAGGATTAATTTTTCATTGTAACACACGTTAACATGTAACACACGTTATTATGTGATCAACCAATTCGTACTAGAGGTGAGAAGAAATTGAAATTTGTTATCAATTCCCTCTCGTTTTTTGTCATTTCCGAATTCCTCTTAAATTCCCAATTACGACAACGTTCCATAAATTATCCATTCCCTAATTGTTTAACTCATTACCACGTTTTCCCTCTAATCTCTTTTTCTCCCATTCTTTAAATTTTTGTTCGCGAAATTTTTTTGCAGAAAAAGCAAAAATTATGGCTATGTCTCAAACAATATAAACCTTACAATTATAATAAATAAAAACAATTTTATACATGTCTATTCAATGTAAGGTTTTAATGACCACGAGTGTGCGAATGCGCGTGTGTGTGCGTTGACCACATGTTTGCACGTGGTTTTCTTCTTTGTTATCGCACACGGACACGTGTTGAGTTGCATAGATAACAAATTTTTTTAATTTTTGCATATGCTTGTCCATATCTATAGGATATACTTTATACATATGTGTATGTCGTTTTTCCCATTTTTTCTCATTTCCATCTATCATTTTCCGAATCACAAACAGTGATTCAGTATCCCAAAAAATTCCCATTCCAGAAAATTAGATCTCACCAAATCCCGTTTCCACGCTTCTATTTCGATCAAGTAGGCTTCGAATGTTTGAATGTTGAAAACTGTCTATTTCAGTACAAAACAAAAACTTTTTAACTTAGAATATCAAAATATTAATAATTTTTGTCGTGATACCGAAACTATTTTTGACAATCGATTTAATTTTAAACGCATTAAGAATAAAGTAGAGATTTCCATAAAAATATTATAAGAGCAATTTTTATATATAAAAAAGTAGTTCGACAAAAAGTAGCGGTAGCGATTTTGTCGCTACATTTTCGTTTAAGTAGTAGCAGTAGCGGCGCTACATTTCACGTGCAGTACCGGTAGCGACTAGTGATAGCGGAGCTCCTTTTCATGTGTAGATGTACAACTATTGAAGGTGGACAAGATGATTTATTACCATTAATGCTGCTCACAAAATTATTTGATAGACCTAAAAAAAAAAGTGGAAACATCATTCATTGATGGGTGGAATTGATAGTAGAGAGAACTACAAAGGTTTGCTGATACCACCATCCTATGCGGTTCGTTTACACATGACTTGCAACAATAACTCAAAAAAATTAACAAAATTTCTGGTTACACTACTGAATGGCAATACTTACTGTTCATCTCGGAAATCTAGTAAAATAGAATATGTCCAATAATAAATAGTTTCGAATACGAAAAATACCTGTCTATCAACCGGTAAATTTTATAATGCGTTATTTCACTCGCACGAATTCAAACGCTGCTCTTGACTGGCTGTTTTTATGTCTGTATTACTGTCTGATTATCTGGACGATCAACTGACTGACCGACTGACGGATTGGTTGTGAACATCACGTGCATCAATTATAACTAACATAATATATATGGTGAACATTGTACGTTCACATGCAATCATGAAACTTGCGATTCTAAACAACTAATTAAACTAATTTGAATAAAAACACCTGCTCAAAAAAATGCAAATGATGGTTTAATTTACATCTAAATGATACGTTGTATTTTTAAATAATGCAAACCATAAGTTATAATCTAAAATCTGCTGAGCAGGGGTCAGCTTTATGCAATGCATTAATCATGGTTCTGTAATATTTTTTACACAAATTTAATAAATGTTCAAAAATGTTTTACATCTTTCTTTCTTAAAATGTACTTTTAGTTTTAACTGAAATTGTTTTTAATAATATGACAGCTTCAAATAGCAGTTTGTATAGAATATAACCAAACTGAAACAGCGAAATCATTCCATATGTTGTTTGCGGGTGATCTCATCTTGGTTGGAGATGGAGGTTTTGAAGATGTTTGAATTTGTAAACTTTTTTTGTTTGGCCTTCTGCACCATGGTTTGCACGTTTTCGGTTTGTCGCCAAAATACAAGTGATATCGGCACTCTTTCTGTTGAAAAGTGTGTTGTTCGTGGTTTTTCTGTTCATAGCGTAAAATTCGTTTTTGGCAAATAGGATTAATTCATCTGCTAAATTTCCCAGTCGCTGTAGATCGAAATCTTTTTGAGCTGCGATGACTGGAGAAATTGTTGTTGGAAGAGCTTTAACATAGATTAGGTAACATTGAAAATTGCAATAATCTTTAATAATATGTTTATAACTAATAAGGACTGAGAAAAACAAACTCTGGCTCACCAAGCCCCTTTCCGTGGCCTCGTGCGCACGCTTCAGGAATGCCTGCAGAGGTGCTGTCCTCAGTGTCAGCTGGTTTAGCAGCATGACGCAGAATGTTATTCCAAGAATAATATATAAGATAATAAATAAATGAATGTTTGATCCTTACACACACACACACACACACACACACACACATATATATATATATATATATATATATATATATATATATATATATATATATATATATATACGTCAGTGCTTGAAAGCACGAAAGATAAATTTCTTGTCAATGCTTACAGCATGGCTATGGATCATGTAATCAGTGGCGAATCCATGTGAAGCCCATTCAATTTGTGCTATCTGGGTAGGGTAGATGTACCACTCTACCAGTTGAAAACTGCAACAATCTCAGACATAAATGCAAATCATCTTTTAAAAGTGTATTGTTTGTTGTTATTTTGCTCTCCAAACGTTTCTTTGGCAAAGTTTTGCTTATTAAAATTTGTTGTATCTGGCTTACAAATTTGTTTTGACGTTTTTCTTCGCAAGTTGCATGTGAGAGAAAATTGAAATAGAACAAATTAAGAAATTTGTTGAGCCAGTCAACTTTGCAATAATTTACGCCGATGTCTTGCGAAAAGGACCTTCTTCCAAAAATCAATTACAATGAAATGGGTTATTCTTGACCAGTGAAATGACGATAAAGCTGCTATATTAGTTACAGTAGATAGAAAGTTTAGACTCCAGTTTGTGTTTCTTATGTTTAAGTGGTTAGAACAGAACTAGGAGATATTTAACAGTTTATTTAATTACAAATTTAAACGTGTGATAAATAAAATCGTTCATACGAATTCAAGTAGTACTTTTAGAGTTCAAAATTTTATTACTATGCATGAAATAATAATCATGATAACTTGAGAAATACTAAAATTAAATTTAATTGAAATGAAAATAGGCGAAAATATTAAATTATTGAAAAATGTATATGAAACAGATGATGACGTGATGTCTGAATTTCTCGAGTCGGTTTTTAAGCTAGTCTGATCCAGCTCTCTTTAACGCACCTTTTCATTTTATTCATGAAGTTATGTCCCTACCTGTTTGTTTAGATTCAACAATATTAGATGTAGTTAATTTGAATTTTCAATCACTATTTATGGTACCGATAACTTACATGAAAAATTTCAATTTGTTTTTTATCAACTAAATGTTTTTTGAGAAAAAATTTGCTGATTGGTTTTATCATATTCTGATATGTGATTTGAAATGTTTTTTGTTATAATTGTTTATTGTGGTTCAAACTTCTTGTTCATTTTCTTTTTTAAAATTGTCGTTTGGCTTTACAAGCAAGTTTGCTTGCCCCGGTTTATGTGTTGAATAAAATTGAAATTGAAATGCTAACTTTTAAGATGGGGTTAACACACTGGGACATGGAGGTTAAAAATATGTGATGTGACAATTCGTGACAGGGGATGTGGGAGTCAAAAAAATGCAAGAAAAGCATGACATCTTTCATGGACAGCCCCCTAACAAATGTTTAATTCTATGTCATTGACCCAAAACAAAAACATTTGTATTCTGGCATGTTAATGTTCAAAGAAAATGTGCATTTATTCCATAAATTTATTTATAGACTCATCCATATATGCATATACTTATACACGTATACATGTTTTTACGCACAAAAACATTTAGACTAATACACAAAAACATACACGCATCTGCGCATCTTCATCTTCAATGTTCTTCAACACGGTTATTCCACATATAAATAGAATTAAACCTAAGCAAAGTCTGGTGGCCAAGTGGTTAGCGTGTCCGTCTACCACCACTACGACCCGGGTTCGAATCCTGCAGTTTCTACGGGTTTATCCGGGTAGCCGACCCCCGGCCAACCCAGCCGTCCATCCTTTCGAGGCTGGTAAATGGGTAGACAACGTAAGTTGTCGCATGTTGATCGGCGAGATGGCTCAGTGGTTCAAATGGTATAAATACATGTATAAATACATGTGTACGTCGTGTGAAAGGGATTAACAGCCCTTGTGGCAAAGATGGCTGCTTCAAATCAAAATCAATGGTTGAAGATTTGAAGAACATAATATAAGATATATATATAGATAATATATCTGTAACATTGTAAGTGGTCCAGCGTAGGTCAGAGCTGCAATAACTAAAAAAAGAATAATAATTTAGTTAGATATTTAAATGTAAATTTTCAATCGCTCGGTGTCGGCAAATTTTTCAAAATCAGAAAACTTTAAATTTTAGGGCACAGTATAATTGAATTTAATGACATTAAATAATAACAAATAAGAACACACACAACACACACATACACTCACACACACATCACGCACACACTATACCATTTTCAAGGAATTTTTGTGAGAAAAATCAAAATGACGAACTACAGGCAAATTGGTGCTAAAAATTCGGTAGAACTTATATAATATTGTATACACATTCACACTCACATGCACATACACATCCTTTGCATATATTTTTTCCTTGATAAATTAATAAATTTTCATTGTATCATTTACTTATAAATTGGTTAACGCCTACATATGAATAATTTTTATACAAATTCCAATAGGAAAATACATTTATTTATGAAAGCAATATCAACCTTGCTCAAAACAAAATAATCCTTTCATATAATAATAACTAATCTCCCCATATTAACTAATTAACTTGTGATAAAATACCTAACATATCTCATCCTTCTCAGCGCACTCATCCTCCTTCTCTTCCTTCATTCCTTCTTTCTATAATTTTTTTGTTATGCTTCATCAAAGAAATTCTTCTACGAATTCAAAGGAATATTTCTTGGTGCCACAACATATGAAAGCGAATGGGAACATGTGCACTGATATATATGTATATATATGTATATATATATATATATATATATATATATATATATATATATATATATTCATGTATTCACAGACACACACTTTTATGTAAATGTATGTCAGTTGTTGCCTTCATGGTTAAAATTAAAAACATTTACGTGCGTGCCAAAGAATATAATTAATAACGTACGTGAAGAAATATTTCGTATTGCTTCGTTAACATCATTTCTATTGAAATTTACTAATTAAAAAATTTGTGTGCCCACTGATATAACTTGCTTGTGTGAATGAACACGTATCTCAGGATATATCTCAGAAATCTCTCGTTATGTCTGGAAAGTTAATGGAATGCGTTTGTTCATTTATATATATATATACAGACTATTGTATATGTATGTTCATCTATGTACATATAATATATCAAATACTTATGTATGTTCAACCATATATGCACAGTCTATTAAATATGTTTGTACAAGATCGTGAAACATCTGCGATTGTAGAGATGCGTTTAAATGTGTGCAAACAATTGTATCAATATTGTTTCAATTACTCGCCAGCTTCTACTTACGTGCAGCCACACACACAAACACACATACACACGCATGCACACAAGCACACACACACAAGCACACACACGGCTACATATATTATATTCATCTTTGCTGTAAAAGTGCGTATGTGTTAATTTTTCTGTACGTGCGTATTAGATTCCGTGTGCGTGCTCTACAGTGAAACAAAGGTAAATTGTTATTTGAAGGCATATGCCACAACACACATACATAATGTAGTTAGATGATGTGTGTTTGTTTGTTTGTTTGTGTGTGTGTGTGTGTGTGTGTGTGTGTGTGTGTGTGTGTGTGTGTGTGTGGGTTATGTGCTGAATAAAATAATGGCCTCGTGTGTTTGGCTGAATGTGCTGAAGAGTAGTGCTGTGTTGTGGCATGAGCGAAGGTACGATTGAAGGCATGTGTTGCGTATTAACTTATATTTTCGTACTTGAAGAATTTAATGTGCTACCTCTCCATGCCTTGAAATAACAGTCGATGAATACTTTCAACTAACGGAAAGCCGATGATAAATATCACTCGCCGATGCATATGAATCATCTAGGAAAGTGTTTGAATGATTAGAAAAATAAATTCAATTTAACATCTTGTAAAAAATACAATGATATCTTGTTCAAACAATATGCGTGCACAAATAATAACGTACACATACACACACACATACGAAACGAAACGAAATTTTATTTGCTCCATAAAATTAAAAAAAAAATGCATACATACATACATACACACAACAAATTATTGTAGAATAAATATGAAAGGAAGAGAAATGAACAAGAATGAACAGAATGAACAGAACAAACAGACAGCAAGCTCAGCTGACGAGAAGTTGTAAATTAAATTTGACTGCAATCGTGAGAAAATGATGATTGGATGAAACGCTGAAGATTTGAGAAATTTAAAAAATGCATAACAATGTGATTACTAAAAATTTTGTCGTAATTTTATTAATATTTTCTATATTTTCTTACAGAATTTTTGTCTGAAGGAATGTTATATTATAATTACATTTTCCAATGGCAAGAGTCTCTGTTTCCAGTAGAAATGTTGTTGTTGTTGTTGCTGCTGTTATTGACTATTGTGGTTGATATTGATGTTGTTGCTGTTGCTATTGTGGTTGTTGTTATAAGTTGTAGTATTATCTTCAATGCAGTAGTAGCAGCTGTCCAACTTATTTTATTATAAAAGATCAGTTCCTTACCTATCTCACAGTTGAGTTGTAACGTTGGAAACCATGTTATGTTGTGTTATGTGACGTTAATGTTTGCTCTTTCTCTCTGTTGGCGTTTGAGTTGACAAAGTGAGATGCACTTCCATATTCATTCACGTCTGTCTCTGTAGACATCAATTGAGAAAAACTTTCGATTGAGTGGCAGTTGTTGTAGCTGATTGTAGTTGTGGTGATTGTAGTTGTAGTTGTGGCAGTTGTTGTAGTTGACGCAACAACAAACGAGAACAATAGAAAAAAAATGCAATCAACCAAACAGACACAAACAACAACAGCAAACAACATCATAAATACTAACAAACTGCAAACAAACTACAAACAAACAATCAACAATAAAAAACAACATCATAAATACTAACAAACTACAAACAAACTAACAACAACAACAAACAACAACAACAACAACTTTATAAATGCTAACAACGCTAGCAGGTGGTGGATGACTT